ATTATAATGTTAATAATTATATTGGCATTATTCTAAGATAAATTTTTAAAAAACTTTTTTTCGATATAGAATTTTGCAAAATTGATTTTTATTCGAATTATTCAATGCATTATTCGATTACTTCTCGCGATAAATCATCAAAAAAAAAACATTATATACGATAACAATTTTATCATTTGAAAATAAAGTTGGGCATTAACCTATTCAAAAAGTAACTAGTTAAAAATTTCGAATAAAGTTACTTTGAGTAATTATTTATTAAAATGCTTGAATAACGTTTACTCATAGCTATTATAGTCGATCCGCTTTTCATATAATCTCACCATTATGTTTTGAACAATAAATTATTGAAACTATTTAACTTATCGAAATAACTTTATTCGTAATTTCAACTATTAAATTTTGCCCATCATTATTTGAGAGGAAATATAGAGAGATATAAAAAATTTGTACAGTAAAAGTCGTATAGAGGAAGAAATTTTATAATGTTTATGGCGTTTTACTGGGTCGCGTCAATGCCATTCGTTATAAAGACTTGCCGTCAAGTAAATTGCGTTCAGCAACGTTATTGCGACATACTTTTTTGTGTATACCTGTTTGGTAAAACGATTTGTTTTTTTAAAATATAATCAACGATCACTTTTACTTTCAAGAATTTTATTTTCACTTGACAATTATTATTTAACAAACTTGTTTTTAATCAAATACGTGAACAAGAAATTATCATTTGATTAATTGTTTCCCTATCACGTGTCGCATATATGTTTGATATTACGTTTCAATTTTTCTTTGCAATAAATGCATGATATATTTTCTTATTTGTAATTTATGATATAATATACATATATTGTATTTTAATCTTCTTTAAATAATTATATATATATATATTTTTCAAAATAAATATACGATACTTTATTTATCTTCACTTCAGAAATTCTATTTATATAAAACTTTTCTCTCAATCGATAAAAATCATACACATCTATCATCACTAATTTTTTCCTAGTTAAAATATCTATATCGAATAGAAGACATATCCTTATATTCCTTTCGCTTTGAACGAGAATGAATTTGCAATAAGGAACAAAAAAAAAACAAATTACATTATTTTTCAGTGACACCGATCAGCAGTCCTGGATGCGAATATCAATTCGGTCTTTACCCTGTGAGCGATGCCTGCAGCACCACCTATATCAGATGCGCCCATGGCCATCCCAACGAGGATCATTGCGACGCAGGATTGGTTTACGACGCGAAGAGTCACAATTGCGTCTGGCCCGATCAACTGTTGCCCTACTGCAATCCGGAGGAAATAGTCGGTTTCAAGTGTCCTCACAAAGTGCCTTCCCACAGCGCTGCCGCCAAGTTCTGGCCCTACCCAAGGTAAATTTTTCAAACAATGAAACGGAGAATTATTCGTGAATCATTCGTAAATTCATATTCGATTATAACGGATACGCGTGGGCGATGTTCGATGAATAAGAACAATGGGTGGATTAGGTTAAGTTAGGTTAGGTTAAGTAAGAACGGTGTATCTGTTTCTCTTGAAATGAATCAAATGGCAATCGTATTTCAAACGTGACGAAGCTTAAAAAAGTTGACGAGTTTATATAACAGAGATGGGCAAGATTTTAACGATTGAAGTTAAACGAAGTTGTACAAAACTAAGTAATGAAAAACGGGCAAAATTATGCAAAGAGTTAAACTATAATAGCTACGAGTTATTCATAAGTATTTTCATAAATAATTATCTAAAATTTATTCGAAACGATTATATTACTTGAATAAGTTACTTGAATAATTTATTATTCAAAGCATTGAAGAAAAGGTCAACTATAGTTAAAGTTAGACATTAACCTGTTGAAAAAGTGACTAGTTAAGAATTTCGAATAAAGTTATTTTAAGTAATTACTTATTAAAATGCTTAAATAACATTTATTCATTGCTATTACAATCGATCCTCTTTTCATATAATCTCAAGCCATTTGATTATAATTATTTGCGATTATTATTCCGTTTCGAACAATAATATAAATTATTGAATTAATCTATCCAATTTTATTCGTAACTTCAATTATTAAATTTTGCTCATCACTGACTATAAAAATACGAATGATTAGTAAAAATTTTCTAAGCTTGCGATTTTAATTGTAAATTAAATCTGTTCTTCTATTATTCCAATTTTTTCAAAGAGAAATATTTCAGTGTTTTTATTTCATTTTTAAATGCACGTTTCGAAATCTTTTTTTTATTCGATGTTACCTGAAAGAGATATACAATTAAAGGGAATTACTTGCGCGTCATTTCTAAAAGAAGTTTCAGTTTCAAGTTCTTAAATATTGTATGACCACTGGTTATACATCCGGTGGGTAAATTAAAAACCGGTCTACCCCGGCCTCCTCGAAGGGATGAATCGAAGAACACCCGCTGAGAGATGACACGTGTTTTACGATTATACAGTTTCGTCGTTTCTTTCTCTGCTTGTATTACAATCGCGATAAAATGTACATGCGACGTAACTTTTAAAAAGCACGATAAGTAAACAATACATCTTTTTTTACTCAATGTAATGTTCAATTTTAATTTTAAATGTGATATTTTAAAATTATAAGTGTTTTACAAAGAATATATATTTGGATAATTTAAATAATATAAATTTCATAGCATTCAGAATTTGTATAAAAATATTTAATTTTTTTTTAGATTCCCCGTACCCGGAGATTGTGGAAGATTGATCACCTGCGTTGATGGCCATCCACGTTTACTTACCTGCGGTGATGGAAAACTCTTCGATTCCGTGAGCCTGAGCTGTCTGGATCCTGATGAATTGCCCCACTGGTAACGCCCCTTTTATTTTTTTTTTTTTTATTTTAAGAAAAACGAAGAAATAGAATTGTACAAGAATTATCTTCTTCTCTCTGTTTCAGTGCCAATAACAATCTTTAAATTACATTGGTCGCCGAATTCTGCAAGTTTTCTGGAATCATCGTCAATGTTAAAAATAATTAAGAATAATTTAATTTTTTATCAATTTAAAAAGGAAACCGGATACACTCATCGTTTCCTTTAAATTTGATCATCTATTGTTGTAATCCAACCGTCCAATTATTGATTATTCTCCTTGTAATTATGAAAAGTCATTTTTCTATAATAATTTATTCGCAAAAATTTATTCGTATATTCTAAGTGAAAAGGAAAAAGTTGGTACAAGAACAACGATGTGTACAACGAGTATTCGAATAAAAACGTGGACGCGTGTACAAAAAAATATACAACGTACACTTTATTTCAACGAGTCTACATTCGTACAAGTGTGAACGTTTTGATATTACTTATAATTAAGGCGAGATAATAGAGTGAGAATGGCTAAGAGAGAGAATTATTTACATTTCGGGGGTGGTGGTGAGAGAGAGAGAGAGAGAAAGAGAAAAAGAGAGAGAGTTACTTAATAATAACAATAATAAAAGAATATAAACGTGATTTCCATACGATTTACCTATTTATCCTTTTTTTTTTTTTTTTTTTTTTTTTTAACTTAAA